GATGTTCTGGGATTCCCAATTTTCTAAGTGCATTGCACAGCTTGATGTAATAAACACAATCAAAGGCCTTTCTGTAACTTTGTTTTTGTTTTTACTTTCTCATTTATCTAGCATTCTTCAACAATAATGTCTTGTATTCCCCAGTTTTTTTCTAAAGCCAGTTTGCACATCTAGCATCTCTTTTTCCATGTAGGGCTTTTTGGATGATTCTAAACATTATTTTGTTAGCATGTGAAATGAAGGATATTGTATGACCGTTTGCACATTCTGTTAAGTCTTTGTTTTTCATGTTCTGAGTAATAATATGATATTCGGACTGAAAGTGCCCTATCCTGGTCCATCTCAATTCGCTGATGCCAAACATGCCCGTTTGTAATGGTTTCCTTTCATCTTTTACTCCGCCTTCTCATTTTTATGCTTCTTCTCTTCCATATTTCCCATTGTAATTCTGTTTTTGCAACTTCAGATTTTCTGTTCCCATATGTCAACATCAACAACTAGACATCCCAAAGCCTTTAATCAAGCCACATCATAAATACTATTAGGACTCCAAAAGATCCTCAGCTCTTCCTTGATACTGTGTTGAGTATCATCCGACCTGAGGGAGCCCATCATCCTGTGGTACATCATCATTTAATAATTTCTATTCATGTGGGGTTTTTTTGGTAAAAATATGGGAGGGGTTTGCCATTGCCTTCTCCTACACAGTATGAATTGATGCCTTTGAGATTGTCAGTAAAGTGATCATCTGCCTCTGGCATCTTCCAATGATCTATGTTGCTGCTGCCCAATTAGGTGTCTGCTTGCTTTAGCTGGGCAGCTGGGACGACCTTCACACCTTGGGTGACCCTAGTGTGCATGTATACTCTTGATATGCCCTTCCAATGTTCTTTGTTCATCCCTTCCAGCAACTTTCTCCTGCCATGATGAGGCAAAATAGCAGGACTTGAGAGGGCAGGATTTAATAGATAGCTAAAATTAAATACCGTACTTAAAGATTCAATATCAGCTAATAGAGGCACATTCTTTCTGATTACATCTTCCAGATCAGAACTTAAAGCTGACTTTGAGAAAAAGGTTTCAAGAGATGACAAGCCCTAAAATGATAACTGCATGCTGGAACAGGCCTAAGTACTATAGTGTCACCTGCTATAAATTCAGTGTTGCTACATTGCCTCTTGCTGCAAATGGTAGAAATCATGTTGCAATTCACAACATGCAAACTTATCATTTTCTGCCAGTCTCTCAGTAACTCATTTAATATCCTTGATGATGTACCAGCACCCAGAAAAGTATAAGGCAGTGATGGCGAACCTTTTAGAGACTGAGTGGCCAAACTGCCACCCAAAATCCACTTATGCATCGTCGGGTGCCGGGTGGGTGTGGCCCATTGGGTGGGTGTAGCCAATTGGGTGGGCGTGGCTGCGGTGGTAACGGCAGACTGGGTGGGACTAAAAAGTTCAATCAATCAATTCCAACTTTGCAAGATCTTTTTTTTTCCCTGCGAGAAGTTGAAATTGACTGATTGATTGAACCTTTTTTTTTTTGCACACGGCGGCAGAGGCCTAAAACGAAAAGGTTTTATAAAACCCAGCTGAAGGCCTAGGACTGGGATGACGGGGCACGTGCCCACAGAGAGGGCTCTGAGTGCCGCCTCTGGCACCTGTGCCATAGGTTCGCCACCACTGGTATAAGGTATAACATGGAGGAAGGATTCCCAGGATGATCTATTGCAATGACAGATATGATTGCTGTGCTGATTAAGAATATATATCATTTGTATCCCATTTCAGTTCAAAATTTACGAAAGGGTTTATACCAGTGCTTTTCAACCTTGGCAATTTTAAGATGTGTGGATGTTAGTTCTTAGAACTCCCTGGCCAACATAAGGCAGAGGATTCCCCAGGAATTCTGGAGTTGAAGTCCATATCTCTTAAAGGTCCCAAGATTAAAAAAAAACATTGATTTCCACAAAGATAAAAATTGCAACTGCTTGATAGAAATGCAGTCAAAGCCAGTAATAAAAGTAGATTTAAGAGAAAGGGGGAATATTTTAAGCATTAAACATATGGGACAGTGGCACTCTCAGCCTTGGGGTCTTGGGTAACATGTCCTATGGACCTTCCTTCTCCTGATCTTTATATTCTCTCATAGCACATTTGTGGATGCCATCATCTCTTTGAAACAGCTGAGGGACAAATGACATGGATTTTGTAATTTGTTAACTAACACAGTGTAAGGCAGGGGTGTCAAACTGCCCACCCATGGGCCAGATGCGTCATGCCAAAACCGTGCCCACCCCATTGCTGGCAATGGAAAAAAAAGTCGCAATACGTCGCAACATGTCACGTGACGTTGTGAGTTTGATACCCCTGGTGTAAGGTCACTGGCCCTTACTTAAATTTGAGATACCATTAAAAGTCTAATCAGGCAACTCAAACAGAGGCTTCTTGAGGAAACAGTGCTTTAATTGATGAAATAAAACAGCTGGGTGTCAAACAATCTGGAACGCTGGCAGAGTTACGTCCAGAAGTGCCACATCTTAGAAAGTTGGTAGCATTGCTTTATAAACTTTGTTAGCCAATGAAAATCAGACAACAGAGCCATTACATCATAAGGAAGACATCAATCATTCCTGTACACTCCCTTATTCCTTCCTTCAGTACATCCCATCCATGTACATGTTTCCCACGCTTACATGAAATTTGTCCCTGACGCAAACGACGATTACAAAAGCGAGATATCAATAGTTAGGCTAAACAATTTCTTTTTGTCCCAGTTACAGAACCCTTCAACAGTTATTTTGTATTTTAAATTGATGTATTTTCTCTCTTTTAAAATAATGTTAGTTCATTACAGATTGTAATATAGGATAGTTGTATCCTATATTGTATTGGTTAGATAGCGTTTAACATTTCTAAACTGAAAAGATAAATCTTCAGATTGATTATGTTCTCTGTTCAGGTACAATACAGACAGGAATTTAGGAATAGCTTTTAACATTCCTAAATTGAAGAGATAAACAGGCTGAAGATTATCTGAAGATAAAAAAAAGTTTTTTAGTACAAATTGGGGTCTGGTTTATCTCTTTAACAAACTCTAAACAACCTTTTTCCTTACAATTTACAACACTTCTAACATCAGACCTCATTTTAATGAACATGTGTGATATTATGGCAGGGGTGTCAAACTCGCAAAGTCATGTGACATGTCACAACGTATTGCAACTTTTTTTCCATTGCAGGCAATGGAGTAGGAGCGGTTTCACCATGACACATCCGGCCCATGGGCCGGCAGTTTGACACCCCTATATTATGGGATGCAAATGTGTAACATGCTTGACCACATGTAACTGATTTCCTATGCCAGGGATGGCAAAACTTTTAGAGACCGAGTGCCCAAAAACTGGCCCTGCCTCTGCTCCACCCCCTGCCCCGTCCCACCCTGCCTGCCCGCAGGGCCACTCACTGCCCCCAGGGCCCGCCGCAGATCGCCCAGGCAGCCCAGCAGCGCCATGGCAGCCATGCCCTCTGCCCGTGCCCCGCAGCATCAACTGTGCGCGATTGGGTGTGAGGGCAAAATCTTGTCTACGCTGCCTGGCTGCCATGTCCTTGGCTGCGCTGCTCCACGTGGGCCACACTCAGGAGTGACTCTCCTCCAGGGGGCTGCTGGAGAGGAGGGGGCCGCGGGGGGAGGCAAGGCTGGGGCAACAGCATGTGTGCCCACAGAGAGGGCTCTGAGTGCCGCCTCTGGCACCCGTGCCATAGGTTCGCCATCACTGTCCTATGCAAAGGGGAGGTTACTTTTATCCTGTCCAATCAACTTTCCTCTTGGATGTTTCTTTGTTATGCTAACTATAAAAGGTGTTGTAAGCTAAAGATTGGGGTTCCCTCTTTGAATGAGAGGAATCTCTTTTGTCTGAATAATCTGATAAATTGTAATAACTAGATCTTCCTGTCTTGGTTTGTCTCATTGGAAAATATGCATGCCGAGGCACGAGCCTAAAAGAGTCACATTTGGCCTTCATAGTTCTGTGCTGCAAATAACCCTTGCACACTTTTGGAACTCAAGTTTCTTTGCTTTGTTTCATCTTGCTGACATCTAGCTGGTGTCACACTATTACCCAAGGGTTACAAGCAGTGGTGGGGTTCAAATATGTGAACAACCAGTTCTCTGTGTGGATGCCGCGTCCGGAAGTCCATTCTGGGCCTGGGCAACAAAAAATTAGCTACCAATTCTATAGAACTGGTGCAAACTGGCTGAATCCCACCGCTGGTTACAAGGTTATTTTGTTTAGAAAAGTTTACCTTATAGGCAGTGATGGGACTCAAATATGGGAACAACCGGTTTTCTGTGTGGATGCCACTTCCGGAAGTCCATTCTGGGCTTGGACAACAAAAATTAGCTACCACTTCTGCCGAACTGGTGCGCACTGGCTGAATCCCACCACTGCTTATAGGCCTAAGCCAGTGATGGCGAACCTTTTAGAGCCCGAGTGCCCAAACTGCAACCCAATACCCACTTATTTATTGGCGGGTGCCAGGTGGGCGTGTCAGAGGTCACACTGGCCTAAGCAGAGGTCACTTAAAAAATTAGTAGCAGTTGCCTTTTTGTAATTTTGGATGTTGCAGGAGCCCACGGATAAATTATATTTGTGTGTACATGCACTTATACACGTTTTTTTAAACAGCGCACCATCATCGTCATATTGCTAGATTCCCCTCCCATCACATCCGGTATAACAGATACAAAAATTACTCAGAAAGGGAAGAAACTCGGCTCCAGTCTATGTGCGCCCTGGGCGTGGCTTCGAACGACTGGCCCCGCCTCCCACCATTCTACCCGGGTTGAGGGCGTAACCTGCCGTGCCGGCTCCGCGGAGGCTGCAGGTGAGATCGTTCTTCAAGGATTGGCCGCCCATCCGTCGATTGGGCGACCTCGGCGGACTCCACCTCCAATCCGCCCCTTGCTGAAGGCGGAGAGTTGCTGGGTTCTCCCTTAACAGCAGAATATGAAGCGGCGAGGCGCGTAGGTGCCGGTATCCGCGCTACCTCTCGGGCGTCAAGAAAAGCGGTTCTACCGCCTCGGCTGCCATGAGCCACGCCGCTTCCTCCGAGTTGTCTGACGGGTAAGGCACTGCTGCAAGGTCCGGAGAGCGGTGGGAGCCGGGGTTGCTACCTCCGGAGCCGGTCTCTGAGATTTTCTCTTGGCGTCCGGCCGTCTCGCCTCCGCGTCGCTGGCATCATTCTCCTTTTGCTGCCGATTTCATCAGTCGGTCGCGCGGAGAAAGGGCGGGTGGAGGAGATGGAGGAGTCGAGGCGAGCTGAGCTTTTTCTCAGAATTAAATTCCAAACCGGTTTTCGAATGGATAAGATTAAGAACAGGCGCATGGGTATGGGAAATGCGCCGGCGAGCGCGGCGCGCTTTAGAAGCGCGATAAATAAAGGAGGTGGTAACGGATCGAAACGCGCTCCTGACGCTCAGTCCCGCGGTACTCCAAGAGGCTGGCATTGGGGACTTTGCTTACTACTCCAGTTCAAATCTCAGCCTGATTCCAGATTAGTGTAAATGGAAGGGATCCTTTTGTATCCTTATATTAGCCTAGTGAAATGGGCTGAGTGGTGGAAGTCGAGTCAAGGCTATCCGGTGAACTTTTTAAGTCTAAGAGGTTTCCACCTCCATTATCTCTGGTCTAAGTGAGCTGTTGTGATCATCATTTGAAGTACATAAAGTGCTCAAAATGCACCACTGCCTTTTTTTTGTGCCCTTAAGTTATTATATACAATATACTGAGTTGACTTTGGCAGAATCTGGTGGATTCTAACATAATCAGAGCTGGTTAGTTCGTGGACAAAATCCAGCTCATTTGATTAGCTTATGATCCAATATATTCCATAAATGGGATATTTCAGTTGTCTGGTTACGTGTGTCATTTAAACCTAGGCAATACCTCTCACTAAAATCCAACTATTTTACTACTGTGCTCAAACACATCCTCCAAGGTGATGGAAAATAGAACAGGTTATAGTCTCAAACGTAGCAACTATTGGTCCTCCAGTACAGGGTTTCCTCAACTTTGGCAACTTTTAAGATGTATGGATTTCAGCTCCCAGAATTCACCAGCCAGCATGGAGAAATATGGGAGTTGAAGTCCACATATCTTAAAAGTAGTCAGGATTGAGATAAATGTGCATCTATCTACTGGATGTTTTGGGGAACAGAAAATTTTAAAAAGCAGAACTTTTTCTTTCAGTCTTAATTCATTTTAATTACCATTATATATTATATAAATGTAGTGTGTAGATTAATGTATGATTTATTTCCCCGCACATTTTAGTTCATTTTAGAAATTTACTCAACTGTGTCTTGTTCAACAATGTATGTTAAAACAAACTATGGTTTAACATATTTAATATTTGATAATCACCTTATTTACCAGGATTTGGGACTTCATATGTTTAGTTGGAATAGAAACTTTGCAGAATGCAAGCTGGGCAGATTTGAAAATATGTAAGGCATGTCCAATGATAGCTTTTCAGGTGTGCTGAGATGAGAGTTCTGATAATGCAGGCACAGCTCATATTAAGACACTCATCCATTGTGACACAAGTATTTAAAGCTGTTTTGAATAATTAAGAAAATCCGTTCAGAGTATTTTGGCAAGCCAAAGTTGATCAAAACAATGATTATACTAGGGTGGTTGAATGAAAACAGTGTGAAGTGTGAAGTGTATCAGTATGTAAATTTTTCTACTGAAGCAACCCAGTCTGGCAACCAGACAAAGGATTGGCCCCTTTCCCTGCTGGAGTGCCATCTGTTCTTCCTCCACTGGCATGGCTCACAAATTGTTCCCTTCTGAGTCTGTCTGTGTGATCCCAGTTCTTTAGGGATGTTGAACCTGATTAGATAAATCTTTTCATCTCCTTTGTAATGCTGGCTTGCACCTTTTCTCCAAGCAAAAGCCTGACTCCCTTATGTCACACCACAGTGAGGGAGCCTAAGATCCCTAGGGTTGCCATTTTATAAAAAAAAATCTCCTTCTCTTTATCATTACATTCAGTTCGACTCTTTTCAGCACGTGTGTGTGTGTGTGGAGATTATACCAGTAGTTCTTAAACTGCTTAATCCAATTACCCTTTTCTTGGTCAGTATCTCTCACCTACCCCCAAACCCCAGACACCATGTCTCAGCAATGGGCAGTCCCAAATAGGATTCACAATTGCCAGTTGCTCCATTACCTCCATGATAAACCCAGATTACACCAAGTTTAAGAACCACTAGATTAGAGTGTGAAGTTAGTTTTAGGCCCAGGAGTGCCCACAGGGATGTGTGTCAGTTGACTCAATAAAACCTCCTTTAAACACATGCAATTGTTGGGGGTTCGACTGTCCAGTTGTGCCAGCTGTTTTCACATGGTTGACATATTCCCCCCATCTCAATTGTGGATTCCACTGCCTAGCTTCTAATCCACATTTCATTAGTAATTTAGGGCCCCTGAGAGTGTGCAGAGTACATATGCATTCTTTTATAGGATTCCTTCTTTTCCCTGACTTCTCTCCATTTCTATTTTCTAGCTTAGTCTGGTTATCAGATCCCAGAAGATTGGAAAAATAGGGTTGCTTATCTTGACTTATTCTTTTGAATAGGACATGGTACAAAGCATAAATATTCGGAACATATTGCATATTATAACAAACATATTATGCAGTAAGATGGAATAGATCTTGCACAATATGGCACGCTCCAGATACGTGAGAACAACTCATCATCTCCAACCAGACCAGACGGGTGTCAAACTTGACGTGTTGCGAACTATTGCGACTTTTTTCACATTGCGGAGATGAGGTGGGCACGGTCTCCGCATGATGCAACCGGCCCACGGGCCCGGCAGTTTCACACCCCTAAATTAAAGCCTCTGCTGGTTAGGAAGGGGGGTGATAGGAATTGTAGTCCTGGAAGCTTGGTATTCAGACAAATCAGCCATAGAACATAGAAGTAAACCATATTTACACACCATTGAAAAGGGACAATAAAGAAGCTAGGAGGGAAACAAAAAGACCGAACACATTCTCTTCAGCAGCCAACATCCAGGTAAGCAGAGATTAACACCAGACAAACAGTTAAGCAGAAAACAATATCTTAATCAAGGAACTACCAAGGAGAAGACCATGCCCCCATCAATATGGGCAGGGCAAGCTACTGTATATACCGGTAAACAGAAAGCAAATCCCATACTCACACTGATGATGTTACCTAGTTGAGTAACGGAAGATACGTAGTAAGCAAACAACCAAGCTCAGAAAGCACCAAGAGCTCCACAGAATGTTAGTCTAGGACTAGGTCATCAGCTGAACAGTTAGTTATATCTTCCTAAGAAACAAGATAGATGTAACAGTAGTGGACTGCAATTAGTGACTTATTAGCTGTATGGGGAAATTAGGATTAAGATGATTCCTTTATCACAGTAATCTCTTCTGCTTGTCATAGTCTTATGCAGGGCTGTGGAGTCGGTAGATAAATGTTCCGACTCCGACTCCTCAGTTTTTTGTACTTCCGACTCCCCGACTCCGACTCCTCTGTATTAATATGCAAATGTATTTTATACATTCCATGCACATGAAAAGCATGCTTCTTCACGGTCACTAAACGTGTTCGTTTTGCGGTTACGTGAGGCACTGCATGCATTGGTCTTTATTCTTACAGTAGAGAAGTCATTAATTATAACTTTTTGTGAATTGGGACATTTAAACTTGCTTTTTTTTTAATTCCAATCTAAATTTAGTTGGAGTCGGTGCATTGTTTGCCGACGCCGACTCCGACTCCAGGTACCCAAAATTTACTCCGACTCCTCGACTCCGACTCCGACTCCACAGCCCTGGTCTTATGAAAGTCTTCTGTGCTGTAGAGGGAGAACCAATGTTAACAAAATTAAGTAGAAATATCACTGTGGAATAAATGTAACTGGGAAAAAAAATCTATTCTTTTTTTTTTAATTGAAAATTTTATAAAATTTTACAATATAAATCTCCCCCTTCCCCAATCACAGGGTTAACAATAAAATAATCATACTCTAACTAACACTGATCAACTATTAAAATAACATATCTATAACCTCCTTTAACTCTTTTAAGCAAATATACAGTTATTAAAGACAATAATAATAACATCACTTTAATAATTAAAAATAATACTAAGTAAACTATTCTAACCTTTATACAACAATAATATTCTAAAATTCACTCAAAAACCAAATGATATTTTTTGGTCCCATATTTACGCTCAATATAATCTATCCATCTTCCCCAAACCAAAATATATCTTTCTTGTGAATAGTCCTTCACATAAGCGGAAATCTTGGCCATTTCTGCTAAGTTCGAAACTTTAAGTGACCATTCGTCTATAGTGGGCAAACGTTCCATTTTCCAATATTGAGCTACTAGTAGTCTTGCAGCAGTTATAAAATTCAACATCAATTCTATTCTTAGAAAATTGCCATGTCTCAAAACTAGTGTTGCATTTTTCCTTTAGTAATTTTATTAAATATTACAATTAAAAAGATAAAAATTAATACAAAACAAACTAAAAGAATAAAAAGAAGTAAATAGAAAGTGCAGAAAGAAAGAAAAACAGAAAACTAAGAATAAAGTAAATATATATATATACTGTATATATATAAAGAAATGACTTTCTTCATCACATGTATAAGTCATTTTAGTAACTTAATATTTTCTACAACAAATAATCTTCCCATGTTTCATCTTTTATCTATAAATAGATCCTTAAAGCCTTGTTCAGTTCTGGTCAGCAAAAGTCCATTAAGGGTTAACAGAGATAATATACCTATTTTAACTTTGGTCAAATAAACCAGCTTTGTATTCCTTCCTTTTACTTTTAACAATCTTTATCTCAAATAATTGTCCTAGAACTTACATTTACATGAACTTAACCTGGTGCTATAACAGAACTTGTGATTTTGAGGTTTCTAATATCTGAAAAGCAATTAACAAGCTTTTCAAATGCAAAAGTGATGTAAAAAGGAAATATGCAAACCCAATATCCTTAAGGGTGTTGTTCACGTTTTGAGCACAGATTGGTTGCATCATCTTCATCACCTTATCTCCCAGAGCT